CCTTATGACCTAAGTCATTGAAATATTAAAATTTTCACCAAAATGTGTGGCACAAATATCAAATTGACACATGTTCAAAGAAGACCGGTTAAGCTTTCCACAATAATAATGGGAGGGTCAATATAAATCATTAAATACAAACCTACCCCTTGTTGTTTTTTATAAATAATTATACCAATATAATATGGGACCTTCTTATATTAATTATATGGTCTTCTTCTTTTTTTGAACTATTTACATAAACATAATTTATTTTTGTGTCACCATTTAAATTTACTCATACATCTCGATCCCTCCCTTTCATAATAAGTATCCCCTCCGTATCACTTAATATAAATTTATATCACAAAAGTTTTTTCTTTATTTCATAAAAATTAATTACTTAACTATACCCAACGTAAATTGTTTTTTCTTTTCTTTTGTTTTAATAACTCTTCTTTTATTGATGTCGGTGTTTGGATTAATGTGTGCAATGAATTCACACAAACAAACTAAGGATTGAGCCGAGATTATCAGAATTTTAATTTTATGAGTTTTAAATTTTAAAATACTAAATTTAAGTGGTAATTAAATTTTAAAGTTGATATTTGTATGCATTCAATAAGTTTATTAATATAAAATTATAAATATATTATTTGAGCAAAAGTTTTTGAATTCAGTCGAATCCGCTCCAAACTTCTACTTCCTCCCCTAATAGAGATCCTCCATGTACATCCTTATCAATATTCTGACTCCCCCGTCTTTATATATATATATAATGTTCTTTAAACACCATGACCTTTTAAATATGTTATGCCAATTTTATATAAGGACGTATCATTAAACGTGAAATTAATTAGAATATTAGAATTAAAAACTTAGTATGGTCAGTCCACATATGTGATTTTTCTAACCTTTCAAATGTCCCAAAATAAGTAATTGCTTAAAAGGAAAAAAAGAAAAAGGTTATTAATTTTTCTTTTCCAAATTATCTAATAAACGATATAAACAAATTTCTATAAAACATTTTAATACTTATTATATATTTTTTCAACGAGTAATTACTCTTATAACCCTCTTTTAAATGGTATGTTATGTATTTTTAAATAGAGTTAATGGTAAAAAAAACACACCTAATAAATATCACCTTTCCGAAAAATTTATACTTCAACTATTTATCATTCCACTTACCTTCCTAAACTATCACTCTTTTTATACTGAAATATACCTTGATGTTGAGTTGGCACAGAAACAATATTTAGCCAATTCGATATCAAAATATGTTTTTAGTACAAAGAAAGTGATAATTTGTAATAACAAAATAAAGGATAGTTAGAATATAAAATTGATATAAGAAAAATAATTTAAATGTGTTTTTTTTAAAAATTCTTTTTTATCAAGTGCAGCAAAACATTAAAAATCACTTACTAATGAATTGAAGAAAATATTAATACTTGTATATAAGATACATTTTCTAAAATAAATAAATAAATAAAAGAGAAGTATAAACCTAGCTGGTATATATTCCAACCACCAGACACCAGTGATGGAAGTAGGGAAGCTAAACTTTCTTCTGCTGACTCAGAAAGCCAAATAGTCAAGCTGGCTTTAAACACATAGCAGAGTAATTTATTACTACTTTCGTGCATATTTATTTGTTTATATTTGATTTGATAGGTCTAATAACGAATGTAAAATTTTCATTGACGGAGTTAGAAAATAAAAATATAGTGTTTAAGATTTGAATTTGAAAACTCCTAAATTATTGAGTTAATTAATCTCTCTATTTTTATGTTCAGGAAATTCAAAATCTATATATATGCATATTAACAAAAAAGTACATTATATATATCGTATAATTTTTTCTCGAACAGAACCCCAAACAACTCTTTAGATCCATCTTTGGACACACTCATTTAAGAAATAATGAATAAAAGAGATATGATTAAAAGTATATTTGAATTGTGATTTTTCTTTTCAAGTTTCACATTCTAACTATCAGTTGTTCTTTTTTTTCTCTTTATCTGTACTATGAGTCTATGACCATTTATGTATTAAAACTTATCTAATTGAGTAGATGGTGATAGTTCAATTATGAAAAGAAAACAACTAATAATTGGTCTAATCTGCTTCGAAGTGTGTTTATTTTAATACATAATTGATGATAATTTAGATATAATTTTTTTTATTAATAGTTAAAGTATAAAACTCAAAAAAAAAAAATAACTTTATTATATCACTCTCTAGTTATTATAAGTCATTTAAATATTATTAAATTAAAAAATTAAAAATAAAATATCACAAGAGAGGGACAATAGTTTTGCTGTCTTATTTACTACCTACTGCAATTCACAATGTGTTTCTTCACCAAGCTGTAGATCTGGCAGGGCTACTGCAACGGATGTGGTTGTTTTTTTTTAATTAAAGATTTTGAATTTAAGTTTTAGATATGAAATAATTTTTAATAGAAAGCGTTCTTATAACCCTCATAATTCATGGCAGATCAGGATTAATACATACTGTTTATGCCATGCTTTCCAAGTGTCACCATCATATTTCTATACTTTTATATTTATTTTAAGAAAATTTTAGGTATGTTTCCCTAAAATTTATATAAATAACTAAAAATCAGCTATTTTTGTGTGAACTTAAATGAAATTCTATCTAAAGACATTATAATCTCGAATTATTTCTATATAAATAAACATACAAATATTTTTTTAAATTGAGATAAATTTTTTATCCAATATATATATATAAAAAAAAACTGAAATATATATATATATTTTTGCAGAGTAGAGCATTCATTAACATTGACATTGACTGTCGGTAGCAGTACAAGAACAGCTTTAAACATCATTAACAGGTCTAACACCTTAAATTCACCATAATTTAAAAAGAATTAAGCATCTTAACTCTTTAAGTGCAACATTAGACAAATCATTTAGGGGTCATTTGATAGCTGGTTTGGAGTAAATCCAACATAAGTAATTCTACGTTTGATATATAGCTAATTGAGATATAAATTATTCATGTATAAAACGAATATTGTGTTTGGACTAGCTATTGTAAAACCTGTATAACTAAATTATGCATAAGTTATAAGAGAATTTATGAATTATTTTTTGTAGGATAAAAGTGGAATATATTAGAGTACTTTTTTTTGTCCGCATTTAATTGTCTACTATATTATGTAAGTAAATGTTCGATTTTACTTGTCCAGATTGAAACTCAAGAAATTATTTTATCATTTTGTTCCTAATTCACTCTTATTACTAAATACAATCACTTTTCAAAGCAATATTGAATTTATTTATATTCAAAGAATAACATAGTAAAATTGTCATTTTATTTATTATTCTTTAAAGGATATACCAAGTTAAAATACAAATATAAATATATTTATTACCTGATTATTATTTTGATAAGCGGCTAATACAACTTAATTTTCCCAAGAAATAAAGCACATTAAGGGTGGAAGTGGCACTGAATTTCTAAGAACAAACTTTTATTCGGGAACCAGTTCCTTCTACCTATGTTTCCTTTTTCAACATATTCTCCATTCTTCATGTGTGATCATAAGCATTAGATAATTGACAAAGTAATATAATATGATCTTGCATGCTAATATCGTGTCCTTCTTTGGCCATTTTCACCATTTTGTAGACTAATTCAATAGTACTGTCGGAGTTAGAATTAAAAAATTAGAATATATATATAATTGACACTTTTTGAACAAAAGAAGCTAAGAGTAAAGGAAGCTGGATTACATTATATTTAATTTGCATATCATAACTTAAAGGATCCAGAATTTGAATTTTATGGGTTATTTAGTGAGAGTGCAAGTGTTCAACGTAATTTTAACTTGTTAAATTCAACTTTCAAAAGTTTTTAGCACTAATGAATTTATTGTACTTTTAAAATGGATAAAATCTAAATATTTGTTGAAATTTGTGTGAGTTTTTCACATAACAATCCACAGTTCAACGTTGAAATTATTGTGTTCAGATGAACCGAGTTCTGAATCATTGGATCCGCCCGTGCCCTAGTGTTTGTGAACCCGCGATTGAATCCCCTACAATCTACTAAGTTGCTCGAATTCGGATGCGGATGTTTGATACGAGTGCGGATTTAGAGGTCAAGTCATTCATATGATCTAAATTTTAAGATTCGAGGTACGGAGCCATGTACAATACAGATATAGAGATTTGACTAAAAATAATTTAAATATCTTAAAAATAGAGTTACTCATATGTCTGAATTATGTGATATTAAGTGAAATACTTACAAGGTATTATTAGAAAAAAAGAATATTGCTCAAGTGGAGAATTCCAAAAAGTGATATAAGAAAAAGGTCTGACATAGAGTTTTCTACCTATATAGTACTCTATTTTTTTTTTTTCAATTTCGCCTTAGCTTCTGTTTTTTATTACAAAATTTTTATATTTGTCCCAAATATCTCCATTGATTTTGGACAAAAGTATCCAAAATCAGTTGACAACTCTGGTACAAATCCCACACTCATATCGTGTCGAAATGAATGCAATATTGAAAGTAAAGAATTCGAACAACTCAGACTAATTCTAAACCCTAAATTATATGTCATATTAAAAGGTTTTACTAGTCACACACATATGTAGTGTGTCTAACATGGGCACCCTAAATAATGTCACAATAAAAGGCCTTAGTAGTCACACACATAAGTAGTGTGTCTAACATGGGCAAAAATATCACCAATATACTACATGCAATGTATACAAAGAGTAGTTTCTAGCTAAGTTAATTTTCAACAGTTCCACTAGTGATCAAAGCATGGAACATATTTTGAACTTGTCTAGACTTAAAGAGTTATGGAAAGACTTTTCTCCATTTAATTACAGGCTTACAGCACAATAGTGAGATTTAAATGAGACCTTAAATGCACCTGCAGCATACACAACTAACCACATACTCTTTCATCTGCTCATATTTACTTCTCTCTGTGTGTGTGTGTTCATTACCCCTTTATAACATGCAGCTAGCTCCTTTCTTTTGTCACTTCATTCTTAGTAGTTCTCTCTTTGGAAGCAAACAAAAATGGGGAATTACAAACAAAAATCTCTAATTTTGTGGGCTGTTGCTGCTGCATTGCTCACACATAATTTAGTCATTCCTGTTATGGCTAGAGCTTCTTTTGAAGAAAAAAAGACATATAACTCTCCTGATCCGAGTACCGGAAATCCTCCTAGTTCAGGTAAAATTTTATACATACAATGTGGTTATAACATGCAAATGACACTAGTTACTTGCTATAATTAACAAGTTATAAACTTCTTTATGTTATTAACATTCATAGTATATATATTTTATGATTAACAAGTTCACATACATCTCCGTCTCATGGTTCAGGAGAAGGTGGTCATGGAACACCTTCGCATGGAGGAAAATCACCTGGTGGGAACTGTGGTACCCCGGCCCCTAGTGGAGGGCATAAACATCACCATCATCATAACCCTACCCCATCCCCTCCGTCAGGAGGGCATGGTTATTCTCCGTCTCCACCAAGTCATCATGGTGGAGGTGGAACCCCTCCTAGTACTCCCAGTACACCAACTACCCCAACTCCTGACCCCGGTACTCCAAGCACTCCAGGAGGTGGTGGATACTCTCCTTCCCCTACTCCTACTACTCCTACCCCTAGTACACCATCCACCCCCTCCACACCTACTATTGAAACACCACCTACTCCTACCGCTGATCCTGGAACTCCAAGCACTCCTGGGGGTGGTGGTTACTATCCTTCGCCTACACCTACACCTAGTACCCCCTCTACACCTACTATTGAAACACCACCTACTCCTACCGCTGATCCTGGAACTCCAAGCACTCCTGGGGGTGGTGGTTACTATCCTTCGCCTACACCTACACCTAGTACCCCCTCTACACCTACTATTGAAACACCACCTACTCCTACCGCTGATCCTGGAACTCCAAGCACTCCTGGGGGTGGTGGTTACTATCCTTCGCCTACACCTACACCTAGTACCCCCTCTACACCTACTATTGAAACACCACCTACTCCTACCGCTGATCCTGGAACTCCAAGCACTCCTGGGGGTGGTGGTTACTATCCTTCGCCTACACCTACACCTAGTACCCCCTCTACACCTACTATTGAAACACCACCTACTCCTACCGCTGATCCTGGAACTCCAAGCACTCCTGGGGGTGGTGGTTACTATCCTTCGCCTACACCTACACCTAGTACCCCCTCTACACCTACTATTGAAACACCACCTACTCCTACCGCTGATCCTGGAACTCCAAGCACTCCTGGGGGTGGTGGTTACTATCCTTCGCCTACACCTACACCTAGTACCCCCTCTACACCTACTATTGAAACACCACCTACTCCTACCGCTGATCCTGGAACTCCAAGCACTCCTGGGGGTGGTGGTTACTATCCTTCGCCTACACCTACACCTAGTACCCCCTCTACACCTACTATTGAAACACCACCTACTCCTACCGCTGATCCTGGAACTCCAAGCACTCCTGGGGGTGGTGGCTACTATCCTACGCCTACACCTACACCTAGTACCCCCTCTACACCTACTATTGAAACACCACCTACTCCTACCATTGACCCTGGCACGCCAAGCACTCCAGGGGGTGGTGGTTACTATCCTTCTCCGACACCTACTACCCCGTCTACACCTACCATTGAAACACCACCCACTCCTACCATTGACCCTGGAACTCCAAGCACTCCGGGTGGTGGTGGTTACTATCCTTCTCCTACACCTACCATTGAAACACCACCCACTCCTATCATTGACCCCGGAACTCCAAGTGCTCCAGGTGTCTTCCCAATAGACCCCAACTCACCACCTTTTACATGCAAGTAAGTAAAACAAAAATTATTCTCTCTATTTCATTTTTACATATATAATATATAAAGTACTCTAAGAACTTATGAGTCGTTTGGTAGAATGATATGATCCAACATGTTCTAATGTGAAATGTTATAAATTGCAGTTACTGGAGGACTCACCCGACACTTATATGGGGCTTATTTGGCTGGTGGGGAACTGTAGGAAATTCATTTGGTGTGGCTAGTGTTCCAGGTTTCGGATCAAACATGAACTTGCTCCAAGCACTTTCCAACTCTCGTAACGATGCCTACGGGGATCTCTACAGAGAAGGAACAGCTTCATTATTGAACTCCATGGTGAGCAAAAGCTTCACCTACACTTCCAACCAAGTCAGAGATAGTTTTGTTTCAGCACTTAGTTCAGACAAGTCAGCAGCAGCTCAGGCACAGCTATTCAAGTTAGCCAACGAGGGTAGAGCTTGAGCAGAAGTCGTTAATCTCTATTCAAAATCGTCACTTTTTCAGTTTCTTGCAATGTCTAGTAATTTCATAGTGTATGTGTGCTTTTACTTAAGATTGGATACTAGAAATGTTAAATTTTCCTATATGGTTTTGTATGTTACAATAGGCTATGAGTGAATGCCACGTTCTGATTTCAGAAACTCTATTTTCCATGTTATCATATATCGAACTTAATATGAAGAGTTACATATTATTGTACGTCATTATTATCGGATGGTGCAAAATATTTATACATCGACTAATGCACATAATTTCAACTCAATATGGTAGTTAGTGTGCTTTGTGATAGTTTAACTAAGTAGCTCTGAGAAATTATTAGTTACATGCTTTTTGCAGGAAAATAATTAAACAACATATTTCTAAGAAAAATATCCGAAGTTTTCATTTTTGATTAATATTGTCATTTGCATACATTTACATTTTCAGTTCTACTATACCATTGTTGAATATTAAAGAGCCTAATGAAATAGCTAGTTAGTACCTTTCCGCACATATAGGTATTGTCATGTCTACAACTATGTTGCTTAGACTTTTCAAAAATGACAAAGGGTGCGTGTCAGGTCCTTCAAAATTAGTAGTACATTTTTGAAGCATTTTTGGATAAGTCCGACTAACTTTTAGCATGGTGTAGGGGTGTGAAAAGGCATTTCTAATACTTTGAAGATATACTCTGTGTAAAGAGGCTTTTATCTATATTTTATCTTTTATTTACTATATACTTTAATCATGTTTGAGCTATAATGTGAGTATTTAAAAAAATTGCAATGTAAATGATTTGTTATGTTAGATAATAACAAAACGAACAACATAGAGTCGCAATTAAAACGACTTTCACATTTTTGTGTACTGGTATCACTCCATCCTTTTTACTTTTACTTGGTCACTTTGAATTTTGTTTCTTTCTTAAGAATCATAATATTCATATTAATTTATGTATAAAAGTAATTTGAAGAATAAGTAATTAATGTTGAGAGTAAAACAAGAAAAAATAATTATCTTTTTTTGATATATTAAAAGTAATAGGAGTTAGTAAAAAGAAAATTTTATTTTTTAAAATGGACAAACTACTTAATTACACAAAATTCCTACCATATTTAATATTTCTCCCTATAGTTTGAAATAATTACATATTGTCTCACTAATTGATAATTTCACACTATATTTCAAATCAGATATATCCAGATACACTGAAATAAAGAGAGAAAGACAAGTGAGATAGTCTATGTATTTCATATACATATGAATCACACTAGATACATGTATATGGGATGCCATATGCATTTCAAATACATTCAAAAATACAAATACATAGAGAGAGACGAGTTAGAAAGTCAAATACAAGCGAATCCACTATGATATAATGTATCTGAAATAAATTACACTTAATTATAACCTCATATATTCGAGATATATGTATCCAAACACACATAATACATATATCCGAAATCTAAATTCTAATAAGATTCATAATATTAAAAACTCACATGAAAGAAAATTTATATTATTTATCTTTTTTCAAATACTAAACAAATAAAAATAAAACGGTGAAAATTGGTTACTTGGGCCTCAAAAGGTCCACTAGAAATAGCACAAAAAGAAACAAAAAAGGAGTCAAAATAAAAAGCATAAAAAAAGAAAAAATAATTTCATTTTTTTTGGGAAACGTGAGCGGAATTAGTACAGGACGATACATATTTAATTTTTTTCCCCCACCCAATAGGAGAGTAGGATATTATATCCACGAAACGTTGATTATTTTGTGCATCCCAAGATAATCGCTTGCGTTACGTCACTACTTATGAAATTATTCCCCGTTTAATTTTATGTGACATCCTATTTTTTAGTTCATATTCAAAATTAATTTAACTTTAAAATTATTTTTATTCTTAATAAAATAATTTATAATTATTCAATTATCTGATTTAATTTTAGATCACAAATTTAAAAAAAAATTAAAAAATTCCTAAATGTACGAATAAAACAGTACGTAATACATGAAAAAGGAAAATATAACAATAGTTCAAGCACAAAAAACATTTTTAATACTATTCTGGTGAGGTCCACTAATGACCTTATCTGCCAGCGCAATCGTGTGCCGAAATTTTCCCCAAACAAAAAAATAAAAAGAATGAGCACATTAAGGAATTAATTGGTTAGATTAACACATTGTATATGACATTAAAGAAGTTAAACTACATTAACAAAACACTTAAATTTAATTATATCACACTTAATATTTCTATCCTTGTAATTTAACTCGTGAGTTAATTCGACTCTTCCTCTAATCAGAGTAATCTTGATGTTAGTTTAACTAGATTAAATAATTTCAACCTTTAAGTACTCGTACAAAAAGATAATTATATACCCATGTCTCTATTATGTCTCGTTTTATATGTAGTGTGAATTATAAATAACTTTTATTTTGATATTTGATATATGATATAATTCTGTGTAAAAAAATAAATAGGAAATGCTAAATGACCAGAAAATTTGGTCAGAATATGGTTAGAAAATTAAAAAGTTTATAATATCCTTTTTATTTTAAAATAATTTTTTTTTTTTCATTTTTTAATTAAAATGTATTAAAATTAAAAGGATAAAAGTATTCAAAAAAGTAAAATAAAATAATATAAAATATGTTATTTTATCATTCTGGCAAAATTTTCTGGCCAAAATGATTTTTTCAAATAAATATTTGGATAAACATTATAAAATACTCCCTGCCACGTTGCAAAAAAAAGAAAAAAAGAAAGGAGAAGAAGTCAGATCGGACCATTTTCCCAGTAATTCACCACAAATTACTAATCAATGTTCAATTTGCAAAAACCAAGATCAATAAATTCACACACACATAAATAAAAAACGAACACAAGATCAATTCATTTCTAATCAAACACAGAAAAAGAATTCGAAGAAAATAGAAGAAGCATTCTAATGGAGAACGGGAATTCTTCAGCAGTTGCTCGAGGGAGATTGGCGGTGCTTTCAGCTCACCTTGCAGCTTCACTCAACGTCTCCGATTTAACAACCTTCAAACTTCTAGAAACTTCCGGTGTTTCCGCCGTTTCCGGCGTTGCACCTCCGCCGAATCTAAAAGGTGCGTTGACGATCATCGATGAGCGGACCGGTAAGAAGTATCCGGTTCAGGTTTCAGAGGATGGCACTATCAAAGCCACCGACTTAAAGAAGGTAAATCATTAAATTCTGAATCTTCGGATGTGCTTTTCTTCCATTTGAATTTTGATCTCTGTTTACGATAACTACGGTTTCTATAGCTATTATTGACTGTGATAGCTCAAGTAATATTTCGTGTTGTTTTTTAAAATTCAAACTCGCTTATGCTTTTCGTTGGCAGTGTGATTGTATACCTGTAGGTTGAGACAGATCTAGAATTTCAAACCGGTGCGTGTATAATTTAATACACATACATGTCTTTAGATTTTTTTTTAAATGACATATATATATATACAGTTAGAATGCTAGGGAATGGCTTTATGTTGTATCCATCTCTGCCTAGAGGCATATGCGCAATAGAATAGTGTGTAATTGTTTTAGGAGTCGGGATACTGTAGACTAATTGCGAGCGAATTGCATGGAAAAGACGGGAGTTTTTCTTGTTGTAATCTTCGAAATCCAGGCACAGATACTCAATGGATGTTATTTGTGGTTGTTTAATGATCTATGCTACTCTCTCCGTTCCGTTCCTTTTTAGTTGTCATGTTGCGTTTTTCGAGATATGAAAATACTACAAATTGCAATCTTTTCCATATCAATCTGTTGAAAAATACATCTTTAGTCAAAGTTCATATCAGTTGACTCTCAGAAAGGAAACTATGACAACTAAAAAGGAACAGAGGGAGTAATTGGTTAAGCCTGTATGTTGCTTTGTATCTTTTCCTGAAAATGTTTGTTAATTTTTGGTATAATTGTTTTGCAGATAACAACAGGACAGAATGATAAGGGTCTTAAGCTTTATGATCCAGGCTATCTCAACACAGCACCTGTTAGGTCATCAATATGCTATATAGATGGTGATGCCGGGATCCTTAGATATCGAGGCTACCCTATTGAAGAGCTGGCCGAGGGAAGTTCCTTCTTGGAAGTGGCATATCTTTTGTGTAAGTGTTTCTAATGATAATTTTGTATATATTTAAATTTTTACTGTGCTGGCAGATTCATCTTTATGGTGTTTAGAGTGATTTCTATGTGGAGTATACCGTCTCTTGAAATTTTTCAAAAAACAATGATTAAGCAAGGCCCAAAAATTGTAACAATGCTGAAGGTTTTTTCTGATATTATATGACAAATAAGGACAATAGATTTTTACTCAAACCTGTAGCATTTGAATAGAATTAAGATCATATCGGAATGAAGGCAGTAAAAGAATTAAATACTCCTTTCTTTTATTAATGCCGAGAAAAATAAAGTCCCTCCCCCCACCCCTCCAACCAAGAAAAGGAGAATGAAATGAAAAACTATGTTGCTCCATACATCTAACTTCTCTGCTGGTCAAACTTTTCATTTGTGTTTATTGAAATTTCAGTGTATGGTAATTTACCATCTGAGAACCAGTTAACAGACTGGGAGTTCACAGTTTCACAGCATTCAGCGGTTCCACAAGGACTCTTGGTGAGCTCATATTTTAGTTTTTTAAGAAAGCTTCAGTCAGTTTTTATTCAGATTTGTCACTCGCAAATGATGAAAGATGAAAAGCTTTGAATTTTACTTAAATGATGAACTTATGGTGCCTCTTTACTTATTTGGCATTGTCTGCACATGTTCTCTCTCAAAAAGTTCATGGCCTTGTCGTATGAAACCTCAGAAACACCATTAGCATTTCATAAATGTTTGGTTGCTCACCACATTGCCAAATTGGTCTCTGAGAAGACAGAACAGTACACTAATGAGAAGAAGGAAGCCTTTTCCCTGTAGGTAGTAACTACTGCAATCTTTACCAAGACGGAGGAGATGCTGATGCCATATAAAAAGAGAGAAGAGAAAAGAAGTTTGTATTATTGGTTGTAAACAATATACAAGAAAGATCCTCAGATAGGAGTATAATAAAGTTTATCCTACATAATATAAGGAAAGTTCTCTGATTACAAGAATCCATAATTTTGGCACAACTTTAAGAACACTCCATAGTATTACCCAGGCAAATTTTTCCAAGTAACTGCACTAATCCTCTTAGGTTTAAG